TTTGAGATGCAACTGAAGATCTGTCCCTAAAATCTTCACTGATTTCACTGAGCATTTATCCTGCTGGGACAAATGATTATATTCATGGGGTTTGTGACTGAGGTCAAGAGAAGAATTTGCTGAATGCACTTGAATGTCTCTCACTTCTCAGACTTGCTCTTAAGTCCAAGGGCACGTATGGACCTGCAGGGATACCCGCAGAGCTTCAGAGGCCAGTAGCTCCCTGGCCCACTGACCCTGCAATCAGCTTCTCCTTCTTCAAGTTACATCCTTGACTCTTCCTTCTTCCCTTATGTTTATTCCCTTGACAAAAATCTTCTGAGCAATTACATATTGAAACACTCTGCATTCACACTAACATTTTAATGTATGTCTTAGTTAATTAATATATGCATTATTATATATGCTCTGCCATAGAGAAATTAATCATCTAACCAAGGAGACACATACATAAATATATTTTGATGAACAGTAAGGGATGAAGAATGGCAGAAGGGAAGTGAAAAGCTACAAGAATTCAGGATTCTATTCCATTGCCTAGTCCTCTGTTATTTCTTTGCAAATCCTCCTTTTCATGTACATGGCTACTGTAATCTAATTTTAAAATTAGGTCTACTTTGATTTAATAATAACCTAACTGATTTCTCAGTCTCTAGTCTTCCCCCACCCACCATGCCCTCCAATCTGGGAATAATGTATGAAACAAAATTATTTCCTTGCTCAAAGCAGCTAAAGTAGTGCACCTTGCAAGGTCTTTCGAGTCTGGCCCCAACATGTCTTTCCAATCTTTTTTTCCTTACTGCATGAATCTGTATGACAAATCTGCCTGGCAAACGAGCCAAATCATATAAAGTCACGGATTTTAAACCAGTCACTGTTTTTTTATAAACAGGGTAACAATCTCAAAAAAACATGGTTAAGATTTGTTAATTCCCTTGTGTAAAAAGTAAGTAGTGTGAGTGAGTGGATGTTAAATATCGCATAGACCTAACATTGTATTTCATAGAATAATCATAGAACTAAAACAAAGCAATGCCCTTTCAATATGTATAACTTTCAAAGTTCTCTGACGTGCATAAGTATTCCTGAACATATACAAATGAGAAATATCTTCTGTACATTTTAACAATGTTCATTTTCTAATAGCCTGAATGAAACAATTCGAAGAATACATTAGATGGTCACTATCACATTGATACTTCTCTGTTCCCTGTTCCAAGTGCTTTACATGCATTAACTTACTTAGGCACTCATTGAAATTATTCATTTAACTCATTGAAATTATTCATTTAACTCAAACCATTGAAAGCATTAGGTTTTACCACCTTGGACCTAACTTTGCTCTGCCTCTCAATCCCAATTCCAGATTTCCTTTTAATTTAAATATAAGTCTTTGACTCTTGTTTTGACCCTGACTCTTGTGTTGTCAGACCACAGCATCCACAACTTATTTGAGTTACTTCTCCTCATTTCTAGATTTTAGCAGACATTCTCTCCAATACTATTCCTCCCTTAAATCTTGCTGATTTCAGTAGCCATATAGATCATGATTCCAGCATTGCAACTTCTCAATTTCTCAGCTTTCCCTCACATAACCTCAGCCACTCAACCCAGTGGTCAGCCCCTAGAGACCTGGTCATTAGCAGAAACCCCAAGCCTCCCATAATCTCAGGTTCAAGCACCACTGCCTCCAACCAAACCCTCCATCTGGGCACTAGACCACCTCCCTTTCTGCTACTGAAATCGTCACTCTTAACAATTCCCCACCCCTCCTCTCTTACATCCGTTTAAGTTTTCCTCCAGCTCATCCTAGTTGTCTATGGGGTTGAGCATACGTGGGAGCAGAGATGGGTGAAAAGGGAATGACCCTGACCATTTGGAAACCAAGAATGATGGTATCATAGAACTTTCATTTCCCTATAAGCCTATTACAGACTTCTAGTTCTCCATCTGCTGTTTGATTTTTCACTAAAAATCAAAATCCTGTTAGGAAACACATATGGACAATTGTAGCAGAATTAAGAGACACTAACCCTAATGCTGGTCTTAGTTATCTCACATCCAGAGTCTTTATCTGGAAAAAGAACTGAAAGTTTAAGAACATTTGTCCATGTAGGAATAATTAGCTCAGAGGTCAGAATAATTATGTGCATTCTCCATAATTCAGGTAATTGTTCGCAACCACAAGATTTTTTTTTTTTTTACCTGCAACCACTGTATCTATGGGGTAGGAAAGATCCCGTCACAATAACAACTTTCTTCTCTTTTATCTTCAACTACCAACCAGAATGAAAACACAGAGTTTATGGGGTTCCAAAGAAAATAAGAAAACCCAGCACTCAATGCTTTTTGCTAAATTCTTAATAGCTATGTTAATGAGATAACATGAATATCTATTACCTGGCCCAGAGGCACTGTCTGTTGAAGGTGTAGGTAGTGGCAATTGTTTTCTTATTAAGGTTTTGCTTTCATTATTTATCTGAAGTGAAACAGCATCTGTCTCTGGAGAGAACAAGTTAAAAACAGATGAAAGCCTGAGGACAAAATGTAGTCTGTACCAAAGCAGCTTTTGTTAAATGAGAATGCAAATCTAGGATTAAAACAGCTTCAGAAAAAGTCAATTTTACCCTCTATCCAAGGCAGAACTTATTCTTAACAGAATTTTAATGTGTTTAAAAATTAAAATAAATAAAATATTACTTTATGATCTTTTTCATAATGTTGATAGAAATCTAAAGAAAGAGGCATTGTTTTCATAGTATCTGAAAAGTATTTACCTTTGATTTTGAATTGGATCCAGTCCAAGAAGACACTCACCCTGGCAAATACACCTGGTTTCTTTGGTTGGGCACTGCCAGCTCCCCAGCTGACGATGCCATAGAGGATAAAGGGGTCTTTCTCATGTCTACACACTAATGGCCCGCCAGAGTCTCCCTGAAACATCATGGAAATGTGTTCTAAAAATTTACTTTAATTAGGGCTCCTGTTTTCAATTTTGAAACAAAAATAACCAATAATTTATTCATAGTACATTTCTTTAATTCTAAAAGATTATTCTTTGTCAATCTGTATAACTTAGAATACTTAGACTCAAATAAATAAAATCACAAATGAATGAGGAGACTTTACAACTGATACTACAGAAATACGAAAGATTATGTGACTATTGTGAACAATTATACACCAAAAATTGCATTAACTAGATGAAATACAGTGATGACATTTCGGTCAATGACAAACCACATATACGATGGTGGCCCCATAAGATTATCAAGAAGTTGAAAAATTCTTATCACCTAATGACATTGTAGCCATCCTAACATTGTAGTATTATTTGTGTGTTTATGGTGATGCTGGTGTAAACAAACCCATTGTGCTGCCAGTCATATAAAAGTATAGCACAGTAGGCTATATCATCTAGGTTTGTGTAAGTACAATCTACGATGTTTGCAAAAAGACAGAGTCACCTAATGATGCATTTCTCAGAATGTAACTTTGTCATTAAGCACAGCATGTAACCTAGAAGCATATAACTTACCAAGACTGGATCATGAGGCAACAGAAAATCAGAACAGACCAATATGAGTCAGATGATTGAATCAATAATCAAAAACATCCCAACAAAGAGAAGCCCAGGACCAGATCACTTCACTGATGAATCTACTAAACATTTAAAGAATTAATTCGATCTGGGCCGGGCTCTGGAGCGGCAGTCTCGGCCCCTCGGCTGGGTGGTGAGCACTTGGACCAGGCCTTCGCAGATGCCTTGAAAATGCTAGACTCAAGGCCTCTGCCTTGGAAGACGTGTGGGCTGGGGAGGGACTGTGGCTCTGCAGCTCCGGAGGATGAAAGGGTTCCACGGGGGTGGTATAAGAATTGGTTTTGGCTGTTTTTTCTTTTAAAATGTGGTACGTGGCCGACACATGTGTGTACGCTTTGTTGGATAAAGCCGTCTCAATTTCTTCCACAGAAAACCCAAGCTTCAGCATCTTCCTGGCTACCCACCCCTGGGTAGCTCCATATAGGGCTTCAGCTCCTCTTGCCCCAGATTCACCCACAGGTCGCGCATGAAGACTTGGATGTTTTGTCTGTCCTCGGGGTTGGGGGTGAGCAGTTTGTTTATAAGGTCTTCTGCTTCTGATGATAAATAGCATGGAATGGAATACTGCCCACCAAAGATCTCCTGCTGCACCCCTCTCCAGCGCATTCCGGGGAAAGGGAGGGTGTCGGTAAGTATTAGGTACAGTAGGACCTCCAACGCCCACACGTCGATGCCGGGGCCGTAATTTTCTTCCATGCAGAGTTCTGGCACAAAATACTCAGGGGTGCCACAGTGCGTGCTGAGTGGACGGCCGTTAAAAAATGTCCCCACTCCAAAATCTGTCAGTTTAACATTCATGCGGCCGTCTAGCAGCACGTTCTGTGCCTTGATGTCCCTATGGACTATACCTTTTTCATGGCAATGGTGTACGGGGGAGATTAGCTGCTGGAAGACGTGGCGGGCCTCGTCCTCCGACATGCGGCCGTTCCCCTGAAGAAAGTCATCAATGTCCCCTTCCGGCATGAGCTCCATCACTAAGTAGAGCTGCTCTGTAGTGTTGATGACATCGAAGAGCCGGATGATGTTAGGATGGCTCAGTGCTGCCAGACAGCTGACTTCTTGCAGGAGAGGTCTGTGAAGTTCTTCGACAGCCTGTTGTTCAATTACTTTAATGGCCACCATCGTCCCTGTCAAGAGGTGTTGTCCCGACATCACCTTGGCAAAGCTGTCCTTGCCAATGGTTGTCAGCAGCTTATAATTCGCAGGATGGTGGTGCCCCTGGTCAACAGGGATGTCCGAAAAGTCATAAGACATCGTGACCTCTAATACACTCACTGATGATACTGTGTCCTCACCAATTGTGCTAACAAACAACTATATTGACTAAATCTAAAACTAATAAAAAAGAAAAAAATGAGACAAAGAAAACAAGGGTGAAGGGAACAAATAAAACGGGGGCAACAAGGTAGCAAACAAGCTAAGTAGTCCAATACCAACAGGTCACCAAGTCAGCTTCACACTGGTGCGTTATGAGCTCAGAGCCAGAATCTGACCAAATATGGCTAAGTGTAAACTACAGTGGTTTTCTCAGTTTTTGGTTTCAAGACCCCTTTACTCTGTAAAAAAGGTGGGACCCCCCAAAGAGCTTTTTGTTTATGTGGGAGATTAAAGACGGATATTTACTTTATTAGAATTTGAAGTCTGTAGGGTACTTAAAAAAAAAAAAAGACGTGTATTAGAATGTTTTTCCAGGGGTGGATAGTGTTGCATTTTGAAAAGCCCCTAAGATATGATATGTTTCCACTCCCTCAGCCAAGAAATGGTGCTGCCCTTTGAGAAGCAGTACTTGGGTGTATAATAAACTAAGTTTTATGTAAAATGTTTATTTAACAGTTATCTACAAGCAATTGTTCTTTAAAACCACCTTGTGCTTATTAATACCATAGGTTGGCTGAGTAGTTCCCTCAGAAAATACTTTCAGGTGTGTATTCATTTTGGATGCCTTAAGTTTTGTTGTTGTTGTTTAAATAAATGGTAAGAAAATTAAAAAAAAAAAGAATGAACTCCAATCCTTCTCAAACTGTTCCAAAAAAAAATGAAGAGGAGGAACACTCCCCAGCTCATTTTATAAGGCCAGCATTACCCTGATACCAAAGCCTGATAAGAACACCACAAGAAAAGAAAATCACAGACCAGTATCTCTGATAAACATAGATGCAAAAATCTTCAAAAAAATACCAATGGTCCCTGACTTATGATGGTTTGACTTATGATTTTTCAACTTTATGTTGGTGCAAAAGTAATATGCATTTAGTAGAAACTGTACTTTGATCTTTTTCTGTGCTGGCAATATGCAGTATGATACTCTCTCTAGGGATGCTGGGGAGTAGCAATGAATTAATTTTGCCCAATTAGCTGAAGCCGTTTGTACGCTGAAGTAAGTGTTCTGAACACATTTATGGTAACCTAGGCTAAGCTATGGTGTTTAGTACGTTAGGTGTATTAAATGCATTTTTGACTTGATTATATTTTCAACTTACAGTGGTTTATTGATGTAATCCCGTTATAAGTCAATGAGCATCTTTACTAGCAAACTGAATTTAACAGCACATTAAAAGGATCATACACCATGGGGGCCGGCGCGCTGGTTAAGAGCTGGCTTGGGACGCCAGAGGGCGCCGGTTCGGATCCCACATATGAGGGCCAGTGACACTGCCCTCTACAGCTAAGATGCTGAACAGCTCAACCTGGAGCTGGGCTGCCATGAGTCGCCGGCGACGATGTAGGCTGCAACCCCTGCTGCAGTGGGTTGCCATGGGCAACCATGTGTAGCTAGCGGCCAGCAGCCACCATGAGTGGCCATCCAGAAGCCAGCAACTGATCTGCCTCGCCCGGAAAGAGTGCAATGATGGTGCCAACTTAGGCCAGTGAAGCAGCATCCTCTACAACTAGACTGAAGAACAAAAGGACAGCAACTTGTCTGTTCCCCTTCCCCCAATTCCCCAACGTTGTTCCTATTCCCCAATTCCCCAATAAAAATCTTAAAAAAAAATAAAAATAAAAATAAAAGGATCATACACTATGATTAAGTGACATTTATTCCAGTGATGCTAGGATGGTTGAACATATGCAAATTAATAAATGAAAGTTAAAAATCAGATCATGACTAGTACAGAAAAAGCTTCGACAAAATGAAACATCCTTTCATAATAAAAACTCTCAACAAATTAGGTATAGACAGACCATACCTCAACATAATAAAAGGCATATATAACAAACCCACAGCTAACATCATGCTTAACAGTGAAAGGTTGAAAGATTTTTATCTAAGATCAGGAACAAGACAAGGGTGAGCACTCTCACCATTGCTATTCAATATAGTACTGGAAGTCTTAGCCAAAGCAATCAGGCAAGAAAGAAAATGGCATCCAAATCAGAAAGGAAGAAGTAAAAAGTCTTTATTTGCAGATGACATGATCTTACAATAGAAAATCCCAAAGACTCCACCAAAAAAAATTTTAAAATTTAAAACAAATCATTAAATACAGTCAAATATCAGGATACAAAATGAACATATAAAAATCAGTTTGTCTCTACACACTAATAACAAAATACATAAAAAAAAGAAAAAGAAAATGGTCCTGTGTTCAATAGCATCAAAAAGAAAAATACTTAGGAATAAATTTAACCAAAGATGAAAGATCTCTATTGAAAACTATGAGACTTCATGAAACAAATTGAAAAAGACACAAATAATAGGAAAGATATCCCATGTTCATAGATCATAAGAATTTATATTGTTACAATGTCCATACTATTCAAAGGCATCTATAGATTCAATAGTTTATATTAAAATTCCAGGGGTATTTTCACAGAAGTAGAAAAAAAAATCCTAAAATTCACAGGGAACCACATCAGACCCAGATAGCCAAAATAATCCTCAGAAAAAAACAAAGATAAAGGCATCAAACTTTCTGATTTCAAAATATATTAGAAATCTATTGTAACCAACATGGTACAGTACTGGCACAAAAATAAACACACAGACCAATGGGACAGAATCATGGGCCCAGGAAAAAACCTTCACATATATAGTCAACTAATATTTGACAAGTGAGCAAAGAATACTCAATGGGGAAAGGAATAGTCTCTTCAATAAATGGTGTTGGGAAAACTGGATAACCACATGCAGAAAAACTAAATTGGACCCTAATCTTACACCACTCACAAAAATTAACATGAAATGGATTAAAGATTTAAACATAAGGCCTCAAACTGTATAACTCCTAGAAGAAAACATAGGGGGAAAAGCTCCTTGACATTCATCTTGGCAATGATTTTTTAAAAATATAAAACCAAAAGTACAAGCAACAAAAGCAAAAATCAGAAAGTGAGACTACATTAAACTAAAATGTTTCTGCACATCAGAAGAAACAATCAACAAAATGAAAAGGCAACCTATGAAATGGGAGAAAATATTTAAAACTACGTGTCTGTTAAAGGATTAATATCCAAAATATATAAAGAACACATACAAATCAATAAAATAAAACAATGCAATTTACAAATGGGCAGAGAATCTGAATAGAGTTTTTTTCTAGAGAAGACACACAGTTGGTCAACAGGTACATGAAAAGGTTCTCAACTCACTAATCATGAGGGAAATGAAAATCAAAACCACAATGAGATATTACCTCACACTTGTTAGAATGGCTATCATCTAAAGGAAAAGAGATTAAAAAAGTGTTGGCAAGGATATGGAGAAAAGAGAACCCTTGTACACTGTCAGTGGGAATGTACAGCCATTATACAATATAGTATGAATATTCCCCAAGAAATTAAAAGCAGAACTACCATATGATCCAGGAACTTGACTTCTGCATATGTATCCAAAGGAAATGAGAATAGGATATCAAAGAGGTATCTGCACTCCCATGTTCATTGAAGCATTATTCACAATACTCAAGATATGAAACAAGCTCTTTTTCTGTCAACGGATAAATAGGTAAAGAAGATGTAGTATATATAAAATGAAATATTAGTCAACCATGAGAAAGAAGGAAATCCTGCTTTTTAAGACAACATAGAGGGTCCTTGAGGACACCATGCTAAGTGAAAAGTCAGGCAGCAAAAGACAAATATGGTATGATATCACTTATATTTGAAATCTAAAAGTTCTGAACTCATAGAGAGTAGAATGATGGCTACCATGGGTTGGAGGTGGAGAAATAGAGAGATGTTGGTCAAAGTGTACAAACCTCTAGTTAAAAATATTAACAAGTTCTGGGAATCTAATGTACAACATGGGGACTATAGTTAAAAATGTTGTATTATACATTTGAATGTTGCTAAAAGAGATCTTAAATATTCTCAACACAAGAAAGAAATGGTAATTATGTGAGGTGATTGAGGTGTTATGTAACCTTAACTGCAGTTAGTGTTTCACAATATCTAAGTGTATCAACTCATCAATTGTGCTTCTTAAACTTACACAATATTATATGTCAATTATATCTCAATAAAGCTAAAAAAACCCCTCAAGCCTTAAAACATAGGATTTGAATTTTTTAAGAAAGCCTTTCTGATTTTTAATCAGTGCCCCCTTTTTGATACAAATGTATTTAGGACTAAACTAAATCATTAATTTGTCTTCTTATAAAATAAACTGAGCTGATGACACAGTATATATATATATATATATATATATATATATATATATATATATATATATATATATATATATATATATATATTTTTTTTTTTATTGAATATGTGAAGAATTTCACAGAATAGATTCCAAATTGCGAACAAGAAGACAGATTCCCTGGTCTGTACTGTAAAACAGTTAGCATTTTCTCTGGGCCTATTTTTTTCCCACATAAAATAAGATTATACTTAAGACCCCCCTTCCAGTTTGAAAATTGTCTTATGTGGCAAGTCAGGTTTGTTTTCTTTTAAATCGCTCATTCATTCAGTACTAACACAAACCAAATAAATAATTTTTTAGGCAATTGCAAATATCCCATGATACAGAAAGAGCCTGTCTATTTTATCTTTATTGCCAGTGCCTATCACAAGATCTACCATATGGTATTCAATAAACAAATGGTATCTCTGAATTATTTAAAAAATTACTCAGGGCCTATTATAAGCAATGCATTCTGAGAAAGACAGACTATAAACAAATTAGTGGGTGATAATAGCTATAAAGACAATATTCAGAGTGAATATTGTAGAGTATATGGATAGACATGTGTGTGCATGCTTACATGTGCATGTATGTGTATGTGTATGCAGTTTCAATAACATTTGAGCTGATACATGAAGGATGAGATGGAGCCATATTTTCAAAAACCTGGAGGAATAACATTTTATGCAGAATTGATATCTGGGCTAAGGCTGCAAGATGGGCAAGTATGTGGCAAGTTGGGAGGTCAGAAGACAATCCAAATGGCTGAAACATAATAAGCAAGAGGGGAGAAGCATGAAATGGACTGAAAATGTCAACAGGAACAGGACCTACACCACTCTGTTACAACAGGGATCACTTTGTAGGTCAAAGAACTTGAAATTTTTCAAAAATCTAAAATCTAAAATTTGTTGTGGGCAAAGAACCACAGGATTCCACATTGCATATCTGAAATTCCCCTGTCTCTGCATTCCGACATTTTTATTTTCACCTTCCTGGATGAGAAATTACATTAGCAGGTCCATTACCTCTGAGCATACACAGGAGGGTAAAAATCAATTGCTGGATAGAAATATCAGAGTCCATTTTATCAAAGCAAGTTTCTGAAGTCACCCTTTTAGTAATTTGTAAAAGAAAGCTAGCCACATTTATTAGTCAGAATCTCAGCTCCCTATTTTCCTCCCATTATACTGGCTGTAAATTTGGTCGTGCTGCAGCCAAACTGATTGATGGATGGAGCTGAAATAAGCTGACGGAGATCATGATATTTGTGTCACCTCTGACATGAAACTAGTTCCTCTCTCTACTTCTTTACTTTCTTGATACAGGTTAAGATCTTCCCTTAATGTTAGATGCTGTCAAACATGACAGAGACAGCAGAGCCATTTGTGATTTCCTTGGCTCAAAGCAGAGAAAATCATCCCTCAAAAGGGGAAGAATGAATACATTAATTCAGAGCACTTTTCTATTTGATTTTTTAATAACATTTCTATCTGCTAGCAGTCGTAGTAGTGCCCGTCTCATATTCTTTACATCTTCCAATCTACATCCTGGCCCTGTGCCTGAGAGCTTCCATCCATCCCGGCACCCCAACCATGAAGCAGATCAGAAGTAGGAAGTACTCCCCCTGAACCTTGGGGAAGTAGTGTATAAATACCCCAGCTCCCTCACCCCTCAGAGGGTACAAGTATTCTTAGTGTGTTTTGCATCACAGCCAGCGTTTTGCTGAAGGATTAAGCTCAGTCCCTCCCTGTGGTAGCTGACTTAATGGCACATATTAGATTGGCAGCCTTCCCTTCCCTATACCCCGCCCCCCTCTCATTTTCCCACTGGTTATATTTGCACTTCTAAACAGGCCATTGCAACTGAGTCCTTGTCACCGGGTCTGCTTCTGGATAATGCAAAGTAAGACATACAACATGTAACGGAATGTGATTCGTGCTTGGGGTTTAAGTGCAATGTATTTATATTCAGTGTTACTAAATGACTTCCTTCCTTCTCTCATGTTTTCACATGGAAGGACTTATATCCAGGTTAATGCCCAGGTTTTTCCCCATGGAGGTGACCTCTATTGGTTCATGTTTCTTGATTGAGTGGGGTGGGGGAGCTATCAAGAAACATAGTTTAAAATACTATATACATTTTCCTATATACAGATGATACAAAAACATTTTCCTTTAATAAGGATTTTACATGCCATATGTTTAACGGGATACAATTAAAAGTTTACGTAAACAGTCCAGTAAATACATTTGTAATATTAAAAACAAAAAGAAGCATTGAAGAGTAGAGATTCATCCTTTTTCCCCCCTGCTGTAGACCTGTATGAAATGACAAATCTGGAGAAGTATGTCTGCCCTGAAGACCACAACTTTCCCTCAGGTGGGCTGCTTAGATTCAGACTAGGTATTGAAGGTGGGCTACTGAGTGTTAGAAACCCTTTTTGGTTGTATATCTAAAGTGACATTCCTCAGGTGGCTTTGTGAATATTAAAACTGGTGTTTGCAATCCATTCGTCCATATTCTATCTTTTTCTTAGGTGATTCTGAACTTGCCAATAATAGTATGCTTGCTCAATGTGAATACATCTATACAGCTTCATGCTTCTATAATATCACTGAAATTAAACTATTGCTTTATGATTTGTCTTCCACTGCATATAAAAATCATTTTTCCAAGGGTTCTCATTTTCTTCATGATTATTTTCATCCGTGCTGGAAAATTAGGTGTGAGTACACTGAAGATTAGTAACAATTTAACACAATAAAACTCAATAAAAGTCATAAATAGGATAGACAATAAAAATCATAAATAGGATACACTAATTTAAAATCCTTATTTGTTTGTTCCTCTTTTCCCAAAGCCCTAAATATATCTGAACACTTCCCACCTCAGGCCAGTTTTGTGGTACTTTCATCACCTACCTTCTCACATCTCCTCTATGCAACCACCTGCTTTTCAGGCTGTTGGCTGCTTCCACCCATTCTCTGATTCTCAGCAATTTCAGATAAAACAACTCACTCTTTCTGCTGTCCTACTGGCCTTTGAGTGAGGGGATGGGGCGTGATGCTACGAGGCGCAGGCTAAGATGGTTGTCTGTGGCTTTGAGGGTGGTCTCCTGTCTATAGAAAATCTCTAGCCGATGACGACTTTCTACCTTCCTCAGCAAAATCATAATCGTCTCACCTGATGGAAATCTTTCCCTCCAGTCGCTGCAAAGCCAGCACAGATCATCTTCTCTGTGATGCCTCCTGGGTGAGCAGGATAGTAAGTGTGTTCACACATCTCTCTTTCTAACACAGGCACTCGAATCTGCTGCAAGCGACTTGCCAGGTCACCGTCTAATTAAGAAACAGATTCAGAAAAAGAGCTGAATAATGAAGTAAGCAAGCAGCTCTGTTAACAATAGATATTTAAGTTCAGACTTGCTCTGCACCAACATCTATAATATGTTTAAATCATTTCACTCCAACCTAATAAACTGACAACTACGTTGTAAGGTGGGCTACCAAGGATCACATATGCGAAAAAGCCTGCGCTTTGAAAATTTAATCTCAAAGCACTGACGGGACAAAACTAGGAGTCCAGACTCAGTCTGAGTCTAAATGTTGTACGCTTTTTAATGGATTAATTTAATACATAAATAATTTAATGTATTTAAACACTTCTTTTCAGGGGCCATTGCCATCCGTGTTGCTTACCATGTTTCAAAATCAAGACTGAGGTTAAAAGAAAGGATTCATCTTTTATCAGACTGTAACCACCTCTCAGTGGTCTGGTGGTTATGGAGGTGGTGGTGGTTGAAGGTGTTATGGAATGGGCACATTTATTCAAGGGCTTTGCAGCCAGTCAGTCGATAAATATTTACTGAATGTTTCCTCTGTGCTAGGTACACTTTTAGCCCTGGGGAGAGAGTGGTGAATTAGACAGAGATCTGCCTCCAAGAAGTTCCCACTCTAATGGATGAGGTGTAAGCAATGAACACATAAAATAATGTCAAGAACGTTTATGTACAATTAGATGATAAAAGTGGGTAGTGCAGGAAGTGATGGAAGGGCAGTCCTGCTGCAGCAAAGTGGTCTACAAAGGGGAACGACATTTGAGTTAAGAATAGAATGATGAGCAGGCATCTGTGAGACTAGAAGAAGAGTGTTCCAAGCAGAAGAAAACCAAGTACAGAGCTTCAGAAAGCAGAATAAGTTTGGCGTTTAAGAGAAAGAAAAAAGACCACGGTGCCTGAAGCAGGGACAAAAGGAGGAAGTGAAGTTGGAGAGTTAAGTGGAGGACACATTACATAAAGCCCAAGTCAGGCCAGGAGTTCCAATTGTATTCTAAGTATAAGAAAAAGCCATTCAAGAGTTATCAGCTGGCTCTATTCTCTATGCTGTACTCTATATCCCATGGCAATATATATATATTAAGATATATATACATATCTTAAATTATAGTTGACAGTATTATTCAGCTTTAGCTTCAGGTGTACAGCGCAGTGGTCAGGCATCTATACTGTCTAATGGAACTGTAACAGCTATATATGACGTCAGAGGGGTAGTAGATTGGGGGGTGGGGGTTATCACTTTGTGAGGGGTATAAATGTCTATTACATTGTTTTGTACACCTGAAACTACTAAAAAAATAGAATTATCAGCTGAGCCATGGCTGATTTTAAATCCTAACTCTGATATTTATTAATCATGGAATAGTAGTAAGTCACTTTAAGCTTGGGGCCATAATCTCCTCATTTGTAAAACGGGGAGGATAAAACGTCCTCGTATGGTGGTTGAAAATAGTTTAGCAAAATGCAATTTGGCTGCAGGTGGTATGGTAAGTTGTGAATGTGAACACTCTAGGCAGAGATAAATCTCTCCTTGAAGCTCACAGATTCCAAATAAATGGCATAGAAACAGAAGGAAAATGTGAAAGAAAATGATCTTGAAGTAAAACACAAACATTGACCCAATGCAGCTCTTTCAATATTTCATTATGGCTTTAAGAGCTCTATCACCGAGCCCAGAAGTCAGCAAAACACAGCCAGCAGGCCAATGCTGTGCCAGCAACCCCCCACCCCCAACCTCTGGGCCTATGTAGTACAATCCAGGAACTAATACAGGTTTATACATTTTTAAATGGTTGAAAAAGTCCAAAGAAGAAGAATATTTTGTGACACACGAATATTACATAAAATTTAAATTTCAGGAAGGAAACTCTACTGGAACATACCTACACTCCTTCTGTTACACATGGTCTATGGTTGCTTTGTGCTACAATGGTGGAATTGAGCAGTTGTAACAGATACCATATGGTCTGCAAAAGCTACAAACTTATTATTATCTGGCTCTTTACCAATCTAGCCTACCTATTATTGGTAACGCTAAGAGAAAAATATAAAACAGCTCATTCTCTAATTTAATCAACTAGTACAACTAAATTAAACATGGTTTCTCTCTTTTGGAAGGAAGACAGTCTAAAACAGACATTACCTGATATCATTTCCAAAACACATTTTTAAAGTGAACAACCTGCAGTAATGTTCTTGCAAAGGTAAAATGTTTACCTTCACGAATGCTTCCCCATCCAGTCACAACACAGATCTCAGAGGACAGCAGAGGCTCTGTGCTGTGCGGGAGACACACTGGCCTCACCGCAAAGCTGAACTCCAGAGGAGAGCTCAGCTGCATTAGGGCAATGTCGGAGTCATAGCTCAGTCTATCAAAGTCTTCATGCACCACGACATGCTTTACCCTTCTCACCTGTGTGAGTGGCGAGCAAGAGAATGACAAGATGAAGTCAATGAGTCAGACTACTTCCTTGCATAATAGTCCAAAAATAAACCTGAAATCTCTACATTTCCATATGTCAGCAATGACAATGACTTTGTATGAAATCGAAAAGAGTAATCCCTGTCTATAATTTCCAGTCCACTTTCTGAGGACTGCCAGTCTTAGAGAAACCAGGCTATCTGGACCTGTGCATGTGGACCTGAATTTGTACTTCCTCACCAATGTCTCCTAATTCTCAGATTAAAAATGTAATCTCAGATAGTATCTTTAAATGTTAGTATAAATGATACATGTGAAGGGGCACAAGGAGTTGAATATCTAATTATTATACATAGTTTAGCTAAAGGAATTCCCTGGCATGTGACAACACTTAGAGTGTAGGCAAAATGACCTTTAAAAACATTTCTCACCTGCTCAGTTGATTCTTTCAGGGTTCTGTCATGGTCCCCAGCAACAACAGTCCAGAAGAATGGATTATTTTTCCTAAATAAAGAAGAACAAAAATTTGACAGGAAGTGACATCATTCACCATTTGGCTAATTCCATCTGGCCTTGCCAACATGCACTGCTCAGGCCAGCCAGGTGCCACCACGTGCCCTGTCTGGCACCTTTGCATGATCTCCCACTAAAAAACGCATACTATGTTTCCTGATCTATCTGAGGAGTTCTCACTTATGTATTTTGTCCCCCTTTTTTTGGCCATAAAATGACTTTGGAGCCCTTACCAAATATCACCAAAGGCTGTTTGTAAATTGGGAAGGAAACAAGAAAAAGTAGAGGTTATTTTAATCTCACAGTGATATTAAAAATACATGAAACAAAAGCTACATTCAAAATTAGGTAGCTTCTGGTCTACATTTTACTGCTAAAAGCATCCAAACATTATCTTACAGGAATATATCTCAAATTGTCTTTTATCAAATCACGATAATTCATGAAACTGAGGATAAAAAGAGATTAGCAATTCAAAAGTGGACAACACTCACCTAGGGTGTTAGAAATCAGGGCACTGATTACTTTTTTTGGGGGGAGGGTGATGATTGGAAGAGGCATGAGAGGGGGCTGCTGGGTGTTTGCAATATTTTGTTTCTTACTTTGGGTGCTCACTCTGTGAAAACTGCTTTAACTGTAAGTTTAAGATTTGTACACTTTTGATATACTTCAAAAAGATGTTAAAAAAAATTGACTTGAATCAATATTCATTAATTTGCCATGTCAAGCTCTCCAGCTGAAAAAAATATCTGAGGAAACAGTCCCTAATTGCTACAAATATTTTCTCACTTCAGCTTGGAGACTCATTTTTTGAAAGTGTTTCTTCAGGGAAGGTAAAGTTATTGAAATTATTTTTCAATACACTTTATTCAAAGGAGAAGTTTGGCATCTTCTCTTAAGTCATAACCATGCTCATTTCAATTCCTTGCATGATGAGTCTGACTTATTCATGTGTTTCAATACGCCTTTATTAAGGGAGCTAACTCAGGTAAAGTGCTTGGCAAGTACCTTGCAGATGGTAATGACTCCATAATGGTAGGCATTATCATTGTTATTATCTGCCATGCACTCTAATGGCAGGATTAAACTTTATTTTCAAAGTCACCCTCTAAATTACTAGTTGGTAGTAAAGAAACTTATTTCTTAGTCACTCTACTTCTTTATATAGAGGCTAGGATGCACAATACAATTGAATGATAAAAATCATGGTAGATGTGATAATGTAGAACAATTTCTAGTGAAGTTTTATGTGCATAGCCATCAAATATCCTTTAATTTGGTAGAGAACAATGTGTAAAAGGCATATGGCAGAGCAACATACATTTTATGAATCAACAGAGTCTAAGATTTTTCCAATAGTGGGATAAGAGCTCAAGGTGTCACTTGATGAATTTTCCCATCCTTTATTCCCACTTGCCCACAATCAAATCTCATCTGTTGTATTTTTAGGGTCTTAACCCCAATCCAACAATGGAACATGTGTCACTACTATGAGAAAAGAAATAGTCACTACTGAATTACAGGAAAAAAAGTGACTGAAATTGAAAAAAAAATCCTGCTGATTTAGTTTGAGACAGAAAGATTCCAATGTATAATTGCAAAGTGAATTTAGTCCCCTAAATTATGTTAAAAATTTCACAGGAGCACAAAGACCAATGTGGAGTTAGCAAGAGGAGAACACCAGGTTTTCCCAAAGTGTGAAACAACCAGGGGACTTAATTGAAATACAAATTCTCTTTAAGAATATTCTTCAAGAATCAGGTGATCCTGGTGTATGCTAAAGTTTGAGAACTAATACAGAGGGAAACCAGTGTGAGAGAAGCTATGTGGGAGGTGGTACAATGGTGCTGTCTGTTGTCATTAATGTCTTTGAAGCCCTACCCAACGATGTCAGCCAGCCTTGCCCTTGATAACCTTCAGCAGAAATGATGTCTATTTCAGCTCCCAGATTTTGTATATTTCCCCAACTGGCTCATCCCACATGGCAAAGTTCCCTTTTCAATGGATTTGGATACTCAGAAGCCTTCTTCAGTGGAGAGTGGAGACCTGGATGTCTACAGGGTTGATGAAGACAAGGCAGGGAGAAATAAGTCCCTGAAGGAATCAGCTGAAGAGTTCCCACAATGCACGGATGAGTGGAACATGCTACTTCTGTTATACAGGCATATCAAACACTTCTGGTGTTAAGATCCATACACTTCAAGGAATAGCTTCAAAAAAGACATGCCTCTTGTCAAATATGTTAGGCAACTATGATGAGTTGAAAGAAAAATGAGGCACACAGACATTTTTCATATCAGTATAAATATAAAGCACAATGTTATGTGAAAAAATTATGAAATAATAGATGTGATATATACAAATTTTTAAAATATATGCATATGTGCATCATTATTAATGGAAAAAACAGGTAATTAAAACATTCTTAATATTGTTTATTTAATACAGAAGAGGAATAGATTAGTGAAACGGATAGGGTAGTTTTGATTTGATACTTGATAACTTTAACTGTTTTTTTCCACAATAATAAATTTTTAAGAAAAAAATCAAGAATAGTTGCTAATAGAACTGCATACAAATTATTTTTGTGGTTAACTGAAATGGTTCACAAACATTTACAATGATTGTGTTTATGAATCTCAGTTGATTCACCAAGTTGAATATGCACTTTGGGAAGAATAGTTTTGTTATGGCCTGCATCTTGCTGTAAGGTGCCATGACCCATCATATACATTCAAAAATAGACTATACTATTTGACAAGTGAGTCTGCCAAAGTTTCTTCTGTCCCTCTAGCATCAATACTAATATTTGTCTTTTCCAATGCATTAATTTTCACGAATTAATCAGCTACTATTAAGTCTTCTTTTCCACAACACATAAAAATGCACTTTGATAAAATTCTTATAAGATGGGCTTCTTCAAGGGGATGGGGAGGCCTAGAATGAACCATGTAGTACTGGACTGAGTTGGAAACATCTATGTGAGCTCATGTGTTTAGCTCATGTTTATATAAATTGGTTAATATGTATTTCCATATTTTCTAGTTCTGCCCGTTGAGAGGGCCTAGAAGTTTACTAAGCTAAAACCCTAGTAGCATCTAGTATACTCAGCACCCAGATCTTGATTTCTTGTACCATTCTCCAATACAATAAACCAGAGTTCATTGGGGAAATGGCTGATTCTAGGACTAAACAGGAAATATATAAGATGAGCCTGGAGCATCTTGTAGTGTCATACGGGGCCATGCCGAACAGACAAGAAACCACCCTAAAAAAGCTCACAATGGTCAAACCTAGAATAATTTGAGCAACAAAATAAATATGTAATGTATATAATAAATATTCCTGACTCCATACTGATATAAAGAAATGATTAAATAAATAAATAAATAAATAAATAAATAAATAAATAAATAAATAAATAGAGGTGAAAAGACAACTCTCCCGAATGGAACAATTTCAAATAATTTATGTAGATATTCCCCACTCAAGGAGGTGGAACTTCACATCCAACCCCTTGAGTGTGGACTACTGTTAGTGACTTGCTTTCAAAGAGTTAAGTATGGAAAAGGGGAAAATGTAACTTTACCATGGAGATACCTGGCAAACACTACCTTGGCCAGTAATCAAGCTTAACATCATCAGTGATAAGTTATGTTGATACCATGCACCCTTGAGATGATGTGATAAGGATAGTATGCTGCCTCTGTGGTCTTCCTCCTCCAAATCTATAATCCCAGTATAACCCCAAGAAAACTATCAGACCAAGTCAAATTAAGGATCACTCTACAAAATACCAGATGAGTACTCCTCAAAACTGTCAAGGTCATCAAAAACAAGGAAAGTCTATGAAACTTACAGCTAAAAGGAACCTACAGAGGCAAGACAACTGAATGTAATGTGGTATCCTGAATGGCTATGGGAACAGCAGCTACAAAGACCTTGAGCCAGCAACAAGCTCAGCATGTCTGAGGAACAGGACTGGCCCGCTATGAGCAAGCAGTGGCGTGGTCAAGACGGATCAGAGACTGGAAGGGGTTCTTGACCTTGACGGTACATTGGGATCATCTGGGGAGTATCTGAAAATACGGTGTCCAGAACCTACCCACAGGTGATTCCCTTAACTAGTCTCGACTGAAAATGAATTAATTACAGCTACACACATCCACATGGCTTAATCAACATAACATGTTGTGAGGATGAAAGCAAGTCAGAAGAATACAAACTACAATTATTTTATGTTAATCTCAAAACCAAGTCAAACCAAACAACATCTTGTTTTTAAGGACTTATAGATTTTAAAACCAAAAGTCTTTTTTTAGAAAGCAAAGGATTTATGAATACAAAATTTAGCATAGTGTTTCATTCTTGGGAGGGGCACAAAGGGGTCTTGAAAGGTTAGTAAAAAGATCCTTCCTAAACTGGGTGGTAGGAACACAAAGGCATAGTTACTGTTCTTTCAATTACATATATATTATGTACATTCTTTCATATCATGGCATAATTCACATTTTAAAAACACTGATAAAAGTAACCAAAATTTTAGTTCACTAGGTCCAGTGATCAAGGTGGTAGATTATCTACTGTACACTCTACTGTTGTGAACCATATTTAAAGAACACTAAATCAATCCAGGGGAAGGTACATTGTATGGCGGGGCATCTGGAAATGTGACAAACACTGGAACGAAGAGCCTTTCTCTTAAAGATTAAATTAAAAGGCAGTGTGAGAGGTGTCTTCAAGAATAGGTGGTACTGGGGC